AAATTAGGATTATTTCACTTACCATTTTGTTGTGTTTTAGATTTCTGATAAAATCTCTTTCTTAAGAATTTTGCTCGGCTCATCTTTACATTTTTTGTTATTATTTGTTTTCTAAGTCTTCTACTTGTTTTATCTTCTCCAGTGCTTTTTCAGTATCCATCTAGTACATTAACCGATCATTCCAACAAGCATTGGATATGCAAAAGTATTCCTTTTGCTGTTATTAGGTTGAAGTCAGTTTCGTAGTCAAATGCAATAGATGTAGAAATTAAATTTATTTTATTCGAAATTTGTCAGTGAAAACAAAGATATCATAAACGATGGAGCAGCATATGAAGTCTTTCGTACGGTGATTTAAAAAATGTCGTAATGAATTTGATTATTGAAGGCGAAAGAAACTCATTAAGTTCCAATTGAAGACAACTACAAAGAGGATTGCTTTCTGCAATCAAATCTAACTTACATATTTCACTTAGTCTTTAAATGATAGCAATTTCGTTAAAAAATTATTATTCTCTGCACATGTCAACAATAACACTTCAGTCTCTTTCCTTTAGATTATATTTTTCTAAAAATTGCTATGCCGAAGCTCCACACGATATTTTCAAAGTTTGAATACAGAGAAACCATTTTCTCTAAGAAATTTCAATGTTTATTTTATCAGATTAACGCTGAAAATTTAAGATTATCATTAGGGAGATTTTCGTTGTATTATATCAAAATGAATTTATCAGTAAATATAATTTTTCAGATAATTAATTGGCAATTGAATAGATTTAACTTTATTCTGAAATTCCGACGAAAAAGAATGCCAAATAGCACGAATTTTGATACGAATGTTGCTACTCATGTATTGGCAATTCCAGTATAATTTCAATTTCTTAACTTCATCGAAATACTACTATTCAATGGCTTTTTTAGTTGTATTATACCAAAACTTTTGGCGACAATTTCATTTGTGTCGCTATTTTACTTCGATCGATCCTTGCTTTCATCATTTAAAATTATTCTACTCAAGTAATACAAGAAGACTTAGTTCATTTCAGATGGCACTACTTGGACTATTCGCATATACAATATTACTTTATCTCATTCATAAATCTGAACGGTACCATAATGTATTCGGAATTCTATGCACTGCTTACGTCTCATTTCAGATGCAAACTATTAGCGTCTTATTCCTTTGGACATTAGTCAGAATTATTGTGTAAGTCATTAGTGCATCTTTACTCATCCATCAAACAATAACGTGGAGCTAATTTGTCCTGCATATTACTGATTGCATTTTTTAGAAGTATTAATCAGTAAACTTTTTGTTAAAAATTAACATCACTTCCTAATGGATATTTGTTAATCAGTGCTGATAAGCAATTAATGATATCTTGATAAGCACGAGTGAATTTGTTTAACAATTTAATGAATATCAGTTCACTAAATTTCTTTTAAATTCATAAAATTTTTTCGTCTCACCCTGACCTCTATACATCGCTTCAATTCTTATTTGTGCTAATATAATAAACTGGATCAAATTTATCAGATACATGAGACTAAGATCATTCCCATGGACATTTTTCATTCGAATATTCTCTCCTATTGCAAATTCGACACTTTATGCAGCCATTTGGATTCAACTTGTTCTGGCCATTAATCGCCTTTGTGCGATTTCATATCCAATCATATATCATCGCATCTTTAGTCCAAGAAATGCTCGAATAGCAGTGTTATCTCTGTGGTTATTCACTATGTTAATCACTGCGCTTTATTATAACGGTATTTCTTTACAGCACTTTTTATAATATGAGGTGTTGCAACACTTTAAATTTACCAAAATTATCTATTTAAAAATTTTAACAGTTGAATGCGTGCGATACTTCGAGACAGATGTCCATTCATGGTCAACCCTGTATGGACCGTGTAATCATCCTTTCCTCGCTTATGTTGCTATGTTCCTATCTGATGGTATCATCCTTATCACTGTTATCGTCGATGCAATTGCTTTTCATCGCATCATTGCTTATATGAGAGTATGTTTCAATTTTGCATACATTTTCCATCAAAAAATCATAAAGTTGACAGTTTGAACCTTTTGTCCAATATCGTTACTTCGGAAATCGATGCTTTCAATGATTGAGCAGTTTTGTTGCAATTTTCGTAAGTTTAAATAATTATTATGTTTGGATTTAATGAAAGATTCCATCAGTGCTAACATTATTATTTAATTTTTATAAATATAATTGTAGGAGAAAAAGAGTCAGGAAGTTAATTCTGCGCAAGAAAACTTAAACGAAGACATCTTATTTTTCAAAGAGGTAAAACTAAATTGGACATTTTCGCATAATGATTGAGAACTATGATTTTTTTGTTTAGAAAAGGGTCAAAATGACTGAAAGAAACTTTTCACACTTTGCGCACTTTTTTCCTAACTGTCAACTTTTGCAGCAAATTTATGCTATAATTTTTAGTAGTTTTTGATAGAAGACATTTCAGACATGTGCCAGTACTGTCATACATGCATTCCTCATAGCTATCTTTCGCATCGATGGACCTTTTGCAGCACGTGTGACTAAAGTGACATACATGTGGCTTGCGATGAGTACAGTAGACAGGTAATAATTACTTTGAATAACACGTGAATTCTTAATTGTTATTTCAAGATTCCAAGAGTAAGCATTCACTCAATCATTGCAAATGCTTGAAAATCTTGCTAATCAGATATTGTCTACTTCAAATGCAACGAACTCTTCCAGGAATAGGACAGACCATAATTCTCTAATAAAATTCAACTTCAGCTTTATATTCATATTCTTCAACCGCAATCTGATATTGAACCGAAACACAGTGAATGCTCATACTACAACAAATAACTTTGTCGTCTCAACAAAACCAATATGATAAGTGATCAATGTTAGTAATATAATTTAGAGATAAAATTATTTTCATAATTCCACAACATATCTATCATTATTCAATCATTCTTGATGCTAATTTCTGGAAATCCATCGCATGATCCAATCGTTAAGTACGAAAATTTTAATGTGCTAACAAAGAGTAACACATTTTCAATAAACTTTAATTGCTTTCAAACGAATTCCGTAGAATGCATAGGTTTGAACAAAGTAATAAAGCATCACCATTTCAATAGAAAGGTAAAATGACAAGAAGTTAGCTAATAAATGTTCACAGACCTGAACCATACCAAAAGTTGCAATTCTCTTTCGTTAAAGTCAAACATTAATTTTCCGATCAGGAAATTTGATTTATCCGGTAAGCGTACTGCAGTACCGGACGGATTCGAATCATTGAATAAATAAAGGGAAATTACAACAGTGCTCAGATAGAAAAAATCGAATTACATCATCATTTCAACTTTGATCGATTTCACTTTAGTGGTGTTTGAGATCGGATCAATGGGTGACCATTGGCTATTATTCAATACTATTAACATCATCTTGATTTGAACCAATTTTTTAAGAAAAAGTCAAACTAGGAAGAATATATATAAATGATAAGAATCACAAAAAATGAAAAAATGAAATGAGCGAAAAATTTATATGCAAAAGATGAGGTGATAAGCTGCAATGATAAAACCAACAAACATTAGAATCAGCCAGAAGTATTTGCAACAGTAAATAAGACTGGGAAATGATAAAAGACCAAAAGGCTTGTACGAATTATACGAACTTATACGAAGTGCAATAAGAAGCTAATGAAAATTTGAAAATTTTCAATAGATACTCTTTATCAATTAATCAATTTTCTTCATCCTAAAATGCAATTTCTTTCCTTAACATACACAGATGCGTAATTGATAATGCAGTCTTTCTTTTACACTTCTTTGCAATATCGTCCCCAAGCTTTACTCACAGTAAGAAACATCCCAAAATTAGTATTGATTGCTCGGTCTTGCCTGTCCTACGGAAATTTTCTATACTTAATTAGGTTTTTTGGGGAATGTTTTAAGCACAAAACACAAAATTAAACACAAAGTTTTAAAAATAAAAATTTTACAGAAGAGAATATCGTTGAAAAAAACTTTCAAACTGAAATGAAATATATTTTCAATTAAAATAATTTTTAGGAAAATGATAATATTACACCAAAATACAATTACAAAAATTCAGATAAAAGAAAACTACTAATATTCCTACCGACTGCAAACGTATATTCAGCATTTATCATTAAATTTAAACTTGTATTAAAGAAATACGATACGCCTCTTACTGATAAGAATTAAATGCTGGATGTGACAGATTATCAGTTTAAGAAGAACAACGGCGCCGATATATTTTATCCAACTTATCCACCGATCAAGCGATGACTTAAAAAATGAGAATTTATAAAATTCAAACGAATTTATGCAAGCATATGCAGACTACAAAAAATGAGAAAATGATAAAATAAAACATATATCATTTGCAGGGAAAGTATGCATGGATGACAGAATTGATTCAGTTCGTTTAAATGAACTATGAGAAGAGGAACTTTCAAATTCTTCACTTACCCTTTGATGCAGAGATTTGCAAATATTTCGAACGAATTTCAGAATTTTACTAAAATATTCACAAACTATAATATATAAAATGTGGCATTTCTCGTCGTTAATTAGAATATTTATCTGTGAATTTTACAATATTTAGCCAAATTTTCTTACAATGGCTTTTGTAATTCGAAAGGAATTTCTGTTTGATAATATTTCTCATCCAACTCTTTTCCATTTGGAACCAATATGAAATCTGTGCTTTTTGGTTTGATACTGCTCAAAATCGCCTTCCAATTTGGACTACAATATTCTTGGGTTTCTAATAATAGCAGAGTGTAAAAGATTGTCATCAATAATAAGATACGGAACTTCTGGCTTAACTTTAAGACATTATTTTGCGTCTAAAAATATTTTTTTTTGAAGTGAATTGAAAATTGAATAGCAGCTTTCCTCTGCACTATCTTCATTCTTCTTCAATGCAGATGGTAGAGGAGCCAAAAGTCTTCCTTAAAGATCAGTTTTCAAATCCGATCACTTTCACTAAAATTACGAAAATTAACCGTATTCGATATTTTGTGTAGGTCTCCTTCAAAAGATCGTTTGTTACCTTCATCAACAGCATCCTCAAGCAAATTGCAATGCACTTTGTCATTAGCATCCTGTGATTCTGAAGAATCTCATTCAGATCTGTTCATAGATGATGGATCATCAAATTACCCTACTCCTCAAATTCCTCAAAAGTTTCCATTAACTCTTCCAATGGTCGTGGAGAGGATAATTTGTCTGCGTAGTGAAATACTCTAAATATGCCACATGAGCAATTGATTTGCAGTTATATTATGTAAATTAGTTTGTTAATTATTGACAACATAGATCCTTTCCAAGGAACTCACTTCAGATCATATCATATTGATAGATACTATGCGCCAGACAATGAAGTCTTATTAACTGAATTTGAGAACGAACTTTGGAAAAGTTCAACAGCTTCGACAGTAAGTGGTAATGCCTTGTTGTCCGGTGTCATCTGCTTCATTTTCAAAGTACGGTATTGTGTATAGTTCGATTTCATTCGGAGATATAGACCATTTAAATATGTCTGAAATTGAATTGAATGATAGTTCCTTCATTCGACTGATATCAATCAGTAAAATTGGAAAAGCATTCAAATACATTACAATCCACAAAAAATTATCAATAAAAATAAGAAATTGTTGAAAAGAATGGTAGACAAAACTGACGATATCATTGCCTAGCATCGGATACATATTGCCGGAGACAAATTCCAGTTCCTTTAGTGCTTTCACGGAAGCAGACATCAAATGCGTAATCCGGGCTAAACAGCAACCAAGTTCAACCGTAAGGTAACATTCATCATTATTCATGGTTCTGTAATAAGGATTAAATTACATGAAATTTTAAGGTAGAATATTCCAAAGTTAGAAGTCGATTTCGACTAAATAAAAATGTCATTGATATATATTACCTAATTTTTTAAATTTGAATTACCGTTAAAATATCTACAAGAGTTAATACTCTTGAACATTTCAATAATATTTCCTAATTCCATACGGAAATTGACATTTCATAGAGACAGTAACATCGAATTAGAATCGATTTCAAGCAAGGAAAAAATCAAAACCTTGCAGGATGTTCAGGTAAGTTTTCCCTCAAATAATCCATCTGACTGAAGCTGGTGTAAGGCGGTACGGGATGATGACATGATTGTTCCGCACACAGGCGACAAACTGCATAGCCCTGGTGTTTCATACGATAGCGTTGTGGAATCAATTGATACCGCAGTGGATTCTCCTGAAATTTGTTTCTTTCTGCTTTCAAGTTGCAAAATCAAATTTTATGGCCAATTTACGGGCTTTTCGTAGGACCTCACGAAACTCTTACAGGATTTCTGTGAGTTTTTTGTTTTTTTCTTAAGGCATAATAAAGAATTATGGTTCAGATCCATCAAGAAAATTTCTGGATAAAGGATAGTGCATTATATAGGACATCCAGACCTCCAACTATCACATCATTTTCAAAGAAAGCATACACATCGTTTAGGTTCTTGCGCCAAGGTACGAAGACGCTCATCAAGCAAATGTTGTCGCCTCTGAAAGATAAGAAATTATTGCAACATTTTACTTTTGATTTTATTTGGTAAACAGTCGTTGTTTAACAAATAAAGTATATTTGGGATTAGATTATTCAAATGCACAAATAAACGATTCAAATATTGCAATTAAGGTGTAAATGATTATGAAAAAGTAATGGACATTTGAAAGAAAAAGAGAAAAGAAAAACTGAATCACCAAATCTCTTTGAGTTTCATTTTCGATCTGTCGTAGCACACTAGCAAAGTTATCATTGCATCGATCTATTGCTGTATTTCCTTTTCTGGAAAATTCTACATTATTTAAGTAAAGAAGAATTTTGACTTTAAAACGAAATCATACGCAGTTTAAATTTACACATGTTATTTCGTTGCACTTTATGCTAATGGAAAATATAAATGGTCCATTGCCAAGTTAACCATAAAAAAGTGGACGCAATTAATTGGTCACTGTTGAGGAAGGAGGTGACAAATGCCAAGTAAAAATGACTTAGTCGAGATTAGGACTGAATAATAGAAGAAAAGAAAAAGAAAGCAGAGTAGGTCTACTGGATGTTCAATGTGTATTGAGCATCATAACAATATCAAGAGCAATACTACATTGGCCAAGCATTAGGAAATGTAAATTTCCACTTTAAATTTTATTTTTTTTTTTAAGATAGTAATTGTTTATTTCGTGTTGTACAATAACTGAAACAAATGGGTGCAGCACGATCAATGAAGAAACATACGTTGAAAAGCAATCGCAAGCAGTCATATTTAAGTAATTTTTTAGTTCACTAAATGAAATTCAATTACTAAGGAGTATTTAAATTGTCCACTTATGCAAATTAAAGATTTAAGCTTGAGTGGACAAATAGTTATAAATTTTTCATTTAACCATCAAATTTCCTGTTGCTTTTTTGTCTTCTTTTTTGGATAAATAAATTTAAACAATTTGGTTTAGTTTTTCTCTGACACTTTAAAACAACTTGATAGATAAGTTAACTGTTTTTGATGTCAGATAAATAAGCAGAAATTATTGTTACTAAGGAATAACTAATTGATAATCTTTTTTTTTCCTCCGTTTTAGCGGTGAAGATACTTTTTTGCTAGGAATTAACTACTTTAGCTAGCAATATTTAACGTAATTTGATAGGAAATAGCATCAGCAATCGTATGTTGCAAGATGTTAGTGAATTAATGAAAGGAAATTGATTTGGATATGCAAATTTCTGTGATGAATAATACATTTTAACAAATTAATTGGAATATAACTGATCCGCATAAATCGGAAATCATTTTGAAAATTCGTTCCAAATTAGGCACAGTTCTATTTCTTTGCAATGCATTACTGGTGGATAATCGCAAGTTTAAGTATGTCTTTGAGCTTGATTGGATAATCTTATATGAGATCTTATACTTGGCTTAAATTTCGGCCTATTCTTTAAATTGTTATAATTAATCAATCTAATTATCGATTGGCATATGATAAATTTCGATACAGGTAATCACAGGACATAAATCTAATCAGTTGCTTGAAAAATCTGTTTCAGATATTTGTAAAAAAAGTTTATTTTTTCAGTTTTAAGGCGATTGATTAGAATTAGGTCTACCCAAAATTTTTTTTCCTCAAACCACTTGGGACAATGTGAGATTTCTTTCATTTGGGTTTGTTTTGATACTTTTCACAAATCCATTTCCCAAATGAAAGTCCCTCAAGTTTGAAATATTTTAGTTTCATATATCTTCTCAATAACATTTACATCCTTCCAATGAATGTACCACCCATAGCTTTTACGATGGTCGGCTTAACATCTCTTCAGAGATTTTCCTTTAATAAAAGCGCCTTCCAGAACTAAAAATAGATTTTCCTCTTGGGTTATTTAGCTATGATTTAAAATCCCTACAAATTTATCCAAAACTTCCGAAATTATGGGCAAAAATTAGATGGTATTATAGCATTAACAGCTGGCGGAGTTATGATTCTAACTGCATATACCACTTATTTGCTGTTTCATCAAATTGATGAAGAAAATCATGATGAATGGAAACAAGGCTATCAGCCCAATTATCCAAAAATCCCGTGGCATTTGGACGGAGTAAACTTTCTCATTTAAAATATTTTCTTTTTGCTTTATAAATGGAATTTGACATTAGTCTAATAAGCTCAATAACATGATAACACGGGACCATTATGCTTGAGAAGTAGTTTTGCATTGGCCTAACACTTGAAAATATTTGAATAATAGGCTAACCAGTAGTACAAAGAAGTAAAAGAGGTTAGAAGAATGAGTTCATTCCAATCAAATCTTAATTTATGGGAACATTTACTTCCACTTCGATCTTGAACATAACATAAGAATGATAAACTTCGAATTCTCTATTACATTAAATGTATAATATGAAACAAAAAAAAAATTTTTTTTTCATTGATCTCTGAACTTTCTCTTTGGCTCAAATCCAAACAAACTTATATTTTAGATAAAATTATCATAAAAGATGGACAACAAATCGCTCACTGCAGCAGTTATCGCTATTTATTTATCAGTAATTTATCACTTTGTCCTTTTGTTCTTGTTGTAATGCATATTTTACGCACTTGTTTTACAGTATAATGATGGAAAAATCATAAAATTCAAAACTGACATAAAGTTCTGATCATAAAATTTCAAACATTAATTTTAAAGTTGCTTAGAAAAATGAATAAACTTCAAAAAATTTTCTTTTCCATTAATTTCCCTTCAGCTAAATTGATATTGCAATGTGTTGCATACAAGTGATTGTACCGTCTCTTTACTCAAGTATTTTAGTAATTGTATCATTTCTTTACCCAACTATTCAAGTAATTGTATCATTTCTCTGTTAAAATATTCAAGTAAATGTATCGTATGTGTTGCTCCATTTTAACAAAAATTAAATTAAACCATTACAAGAATACAAAGGGATTTTATCAAAAACTAAATTAAACCATTACAAGAATATAAAGGGATTTTATTATCTCAACATCTCAAACAATCTCACCGATATTTTTGTTCATTTCAGGTTGATAACAATTTCTTCCTCTTCATATATCATACACAATGTTAGTGAATATTTCAGTTTTTACAATGTTAGTGAAGTTTAATATTTCAAATTTTCCCTTGCTATATGCGACTAAATGAATTTAATTAAATCTGAAATAATTGGGATTCTTTTACTATTTCATTTCGAGCACCACGAAAAAACCCCCGACCACGCTAACTTTTACGGACTGCTAGATGCCGTGTGACAATTATCAGATCAACTTCAAATTCCATTAAATCCTCCAAAAGCTTCACAAAATGACGATTTGAACTTAAATACTCGAAATATTTCCAACAAACACCCCAGACAAACTTCAATAGGAATTACAAATTTTTGTTCACAGTCACTTCATATCGGAAAATCTTTGATTTAGCAATTTTTTAAGGCATAATTTCAACTGAACCATCCCTTATGATCAAAAATCCATTTCTTTATTGATTTGCTAAGGAAAAACATTTCTTAAGATTTGGGATTGAACCACAATTAATTACAAAATAACTCAGCTCTCCACATATGCAAAGTTTGAAGTTAAACAACTTTAGGTTATCGATTATATCGCTTGGAGAGTTAACTTTAGAGGAATAAAAATGTGCTTTTTGGGGTTTGATTACGCCTCAAATCACCTTCTGTACGGCTGCTTATACTTTACGTCTAACAATCACCACAAATCCAGCAAAAAAAAAGGGTCAACTTTTGAGACATCATCTTGCCGTGAAAAAATATTACCTGGTTTGGAGAAGATTGATAATGAAGGTTTTGTGTTGTCTGATACGAATGCAAGGTGATTGATAAGGGTTTATTGATGACAGTAAAGCATACAGAGAATATAAAAACAATTATGAGTAAGTTCCTTAATGATGAAAAGAGGGGAGAAATTTGTGTATTGAATTGAAAATAAATGAATGAAAACTGGAACTGAAAATGAGGAGACTATCGATCGTCGGAAATTGTAAAGAAAACTGATTTCAAAATCCCTTCTATTATGGGTGAGGTTAATAAAACTAATACATACATAGAAAATTATTTCTCAGACAAAGGAATGGATTGTTTAATGGAAGTCTAAAGATGTAACATTGGATATAAGCACAGTTATCAGATTAGATACTTTTACAATATACCCATTAATATGTATAAGTTGGGTTATCAGACTAGTTGCTCACTAAAAATCAAAGATTACAAGTAGCTTAATTATCAAGCAGCAATCCTTTATCACAGTATTACAGGAATTGGATAAATGACTCATCATTTGATATGTTGGAAATTTAATTTTAATTTTGTGTGATAAATTATTTATAGGAAAAATGATCTAAATAAGACAATACTTATAAATTTGTGATGGCATACTTTGATTGTTTTAAATTTTCTCGGGTTTCCCGATACTTCTTTACGTATCTGTTGTTGACAATTTACATAGAAATCATCATATAGCATGCTCATATGTGATGTGATGTGATGTCTCATTCATCCATTGATTATGCACTTAGTTAACACGTCATTGAAATGCTTGCTTGTACGTTACTTCAATTGGAGACACTCAATAACCAACCCTTCTCACTCCATCTCATAACACCCTCTTATCTTTCCTCTCTACTTCTCTCCTTTTGCCATCGTCAATATTATTGAATCGACCAATGGATGTAACCATTGCAATAGCTATTCAATATTGATTTATATAAAAAGTATAAGAAATTAAAGGCTACCTTCTGTGTTCATTCCTTGTATCGTTTAATGCCATCAACCCATTTAATAGCTCCTTTAACATATATACTATCAGAAAATTGTCATCGACGTTATCTTTGCTAAATTTTCTACTTCTCTTCTTACATTCACATACGACTGTATGTTTTGTTACAATATCATGCAAATTTTGATGATAAATTGCTTTATCATTCTGATAGCGGTAGGGACAATTGCGCCTAGGACCTGTCTTGTGTACTAAATTAGCACAAAGTTACATTTGTACCATCATTATGTCCTATTATTCGCTACTCTCCCGATGTCCTTATACAGCTAGTCCTTTCACACTAAACGCAATGTTTCGGTCTAGTCTCGACCCATATACCCTTGACACACTGCATGCTAAAAATAGCTTTACTTATAGATTACTCCAAAGTCGAGTAACGGTATCGAGCGCTACGGTATTTTGAAGATTACTGTATATTGGTATGAAGTGAGTTCGGTTATTTGATGGCATTCTTTATGATAATTAATCGTAATTCGTTTGAATGCAATGAAAATGGGCGAAATGGATGATGTGGCAGAGGGAAAAGGTAGCAGGACTGAAGATGATCAAATGAAGAATTTCGTGAATTCCGGACGTAGTGGAAGACGGAATGCTGTTCCGGAAGTGGACACGCTAGGGATAGATCCGGATGCTACAAAACTTGCAGAACGTTTATCGTCGATGAATACAGTTGGCCGAGATGACTGTACCGTAAGTAATACTACAGGTAACGGCACAAATTCATCTCTAAAATTAAACACAGATAAGATGTCGATCCTTGCGCTGTTTTGCCACTCGGTGTTCATAGACAGAAGTTGGACTTCTCCCATTTATTTAATCTTAATGCTTCACTGATTATCATCATTTATTTTCTTTTGGACCTCTTATCACCTATCAACTGGACCCCTTATCACCTATCAATTGCACCTCTTATCTTTAGCTATATCTAATAATTCATCATTTGCACTGTTGTTTCACATTTAATGTTCGAATTCGCTTCATTTGTTTCCTCCTTCAAATATTATTCTTTAACTACCGTTTTTCAGGAAAAAAAGACACAGCTAGGTAGCAATCGATTCGATATCAATTAATGAGCGATTGTACAATCTGTGGTTTTTCGTTTCGCTTGAACACGAAGATTCAAGAAGTATGTATTTACTGGAATAAAAATAAAAACATTAAGCAGCAATGGTGTGTATATTGCTGTGGATCAAGAGGTCACTTGATCATTCTTCTATCAAATTCTTTCCTCTGATAGCAACTGATAAGGATTAGCAGCTTACTGTTTGCTGAGCAAAAATTGTAAGTGAACCAATTTAAATAAGCACAGCGACAGTTACTTTTACTATAAGCTTACCAAATTTTTTCCGTTTTTGTAAGATTCGAAAATTGATCACTTATCTTGACACTAGGTGTCAAGACATTAGGTGGCATTGATTTTTTGATAAGAAAACCCCCTAGCATTAAGCCATTATTTGCTTCTTTTTATATGATGATATAGTTTTCATGGGCATTCTATCGATTTCTCGCTAAAATTAATACATACATGCTTTGTTGAATTTTCTCTCAATTTGAATTTGAAAAAGAAATCTAAAATCTGAGATCTGTTGAAATCCGAGAATGATCAATCCTCAGATTTTTTTGAAAGTTGCTCTGTCAAACGCCGATCGTTTGTTCATATATTGATTATTTGTTACCAGATATTTTGTCTCGAAAATGGCAGATGTAGTGCTCAGTTATGCTCTTTGCCTACTTACTCATTCTTACCTTTGGTCTTCTGAAATCATTAATTTGTTTTGTTCTACCTTAGTCGGTGTCATTCGTCATTTCTTGAAAACATGACTTCAACTTAAGAGTACTGACGGATAAACTGCAATTTGTAATTCTTTAAAAAAGTGTGCATCCGAAAAGTTTTCTCCACAAAATTTCCGTTTTTTCACACGAGCCTTTTTTCGGTGTAACTTTACTTTGGAAAAACCCGAGATATGCACCAATACTTTCAAAGTCAAAAGGTGATATTCGAAATTTGGATAGGTCTTACAGGAGATGTGAATGAAAAATGAAGAAATTCGTTGGGTTATACTCGTTACACTTTTTCAGGATTTTACATGCACGAGTTATTCAAAAGAAAATGTTCAACACTTTTTTCATTAATCTCTTTTATTATTCAGTAAAGTTAACTAGAACTGCTTTTGATGTGTTATTCAATTTTCATTGAGAAAGTGTGATTACCTAAAGGATTTGCATTTTTTCTTTTGTTACATTTACCATTTTAAGAAAAAGGAACACTTAATTGTCCTTATATCAGCAGCTATATTTTCTCCATTTTAGTTGTCAATTACATTTTTTCTTTGCAGTTTGCAAGCCTTGTAAATAAAATACAAAACTTTTCAATTCAAATTAATGTTTCGTGTCCTCGGTCTTTCCTTGTAGATTATATCTATTACTTTATCTCGCTGTTTAGTATAGCTCCTAAGAATGTCCCTATCTTCCTTCCGAAGTACAAGAATTCGGAAATCAAATAAATGAAATAACTTGAATTTAATATATAACGTGGTTTCCAGGATTTTCCATTGATCAAGTCTTCTCTGAAGGATCGAATAAGCCGACGCTGCTTTTATATTTTCCTCATTTTCCGATCCTTGATTTAAATATTTCAGTGATATTTTTCAAATAATTTAAAATTTCCACATCTTCCAAACATTAAAATGTGGAAATAATTCTTTGCTCAGGTTATACATTGGAAAGAAATGTTTTCAGTTCTTTATGCAGGAATTGATCGTTAAACAATGAAGTATATTTCATGTAATATTGCTGATTTACGAATGTGATGTACAGAAGGAAGAAATACATTGCAGTTATGTTTAGCAAGAAATTTGTCTAGTAATCGATAATTTGTTGAACTTTGTTTCGTTTTCTAGTACAATTTTTGCTGTCCTGTTTTGAATTAGTATGTTGCTAACTGGCGCAAAGATCCGTCTTATTTTTTGGTGAGATATTTGATCTGCTTTTGCGGGGTTGTAAGAATATTGAAAATTAAGTAAGTTACTGGGACATCGATTATGCCCAGCTAAATTTTCCAATTGTGCCCAACTAAATCATTTATGAGGTCAAGATTTGGCCCGAGTGGGCAATACTTTTCATGATTTTGGGATTTATCGCCATTCACTGCATGCCAGTGCAATTTATAAAAACTATTTGGTTTTGTTTTCAGTAACATGTAGGAATAAAAGTTTATAATAATGTATTGCAATGAAATTCATTAATAAAAAGCATATTGTCTTTACAGTAAATACTAACCGTATGTTTTCTTTTATTTACAATATGTTCATGTTCACATGGGAACCATTCAACTTGTGATGATAGTAAACGATTCCTGGTTTTTTATGGATTTGATATTCTTCCATTCTTAACTTTCGACAGCAAAACATTTACGTTTATTAGTATGCGAGTATAAATCATTCACATCACCAAGTGATTTTTTGATTTATGGGGCTCTCTGCAGTGGAAATTTTAAAGGAATGGTTCTTTTATTAATTAATCAAAAAGATCATCCACTTGAGAATCTACTTATTCTATCCTATCTTTACCTGTGTTTGTGCTTATGCAACTTATACAAGCTCAGGTATCAAAGGTATTGCTGGTATTACTTGAATTTGATTATCGAACCGTTTGTACTGTTTGTTGCATAATGTATGTTTCTAGTTTACCAAGGAATTAAAAGGTTATGCAGTGCTCCAAGTTAGACATAATCGGAATAGTTTTTATTTCATCAAGCAACGGAATATAAAATAAATATAACAGGATTTTTTTTTTTTACAGGTAAAATCCGAATTGCAATGGCGAATGCCCTACCAAGACGCATTACGAAAGAAACGCAACGTCTGATGAATGATCCAGTGCCAGGGATTTCGGCAGTACCGGATGACAGTAATGCTCGTTATTTTCATGTTATTATTGCTGGTCCCGAAGGTAGCCCATTTGCTGGCGGTGTCTTCAAGTTGGAACTTTTTTTACCTGAAGAATATCCGATGGCTGCGCCGAAGGTCCGATTTATGACTAAAATTTATCACCCAAATATTGACAAATTGGGACGGATATGTTTGGATATCCTAAAGGACAAATGGTCACCCGCGCTTCAAATACGTACCGTTTTGCTCTCGATCCAAGCGTTGCTGTCAGCACCAAATCCGGACGATCCATTGGCGACCGATGTCGCGGAACAATGGAAGAATAATGAAAGTGATGCGATACGCACAGCAGAAGAATGGACACGTACTTATGCAACTGGTGACTGAACTATGTCAAGTCAAATTTGGTAATTTTAATCAATTTAGACAGCCAAAACATGTTTTTTGCTTGTTGTATGAGTGTTTAAAATTCTAGATGTGATTAGGTATGTATGAGACGCTGTTCTCTCACCGTCAACGAAATTTCTGTTGTGTTTCTCTTTTTGAATAAGAAATATGAGGGACATTTGTATCTTTTGATATTGCATAATTTATCCAAGTTAGACCATTCACAAATATAATTGTTTTGTTAGTTTTGTTATCAAGTGCTTTTCAAGTTATTTTGCAAATTTTTGTTTTACATGAAGAATATGCTCATTTCCGTATCATGGAACGCTAATATTTCGCATACTCATGCCATATCTCATCCATTTTTCCGGGAAGTGAATGTTTTGATATTGCTTTTTCATATGACAAATTTGTAACACTTAATGGTTTTACAGTGGAAAGCAACTGTGCTTTGATTTCAAAATCCGTTTTAATTTAATAAGGATCTCTACGAAAGCTTTCTCCATGGTATTCTTTGCGTTGGGTGGACAGCTTTCCTGTTTCTTTTTCATTTTCAAAAGATATAGTTATAGATGATGACGATGATATGCTCTTTTAATGCAGAAATCTGGATTCTCTTCATAATTCCTCATTTGGAGTTTGTTTGGAAGCGTCCTCATGTTAGACCAAATATTTTTACGGAATATTATCGTGTATGGAATCAAATGAATACGTATAACTGTTTTAAAAGGATAGAGGAGTCGGATAATGTCAGTATGGCACTGCCTCAATATAACTTCAATATTTCAGGACTTACGAGTGAGATACATGTCTAAGTGCCAATATAACTTTGTCTTTCAGAAAAAAACAAGATGAAGATAATAAGCGGCAAGCACGTATATAAAAATGTTACTTTAGCGCAAAGCAAACAGCTGATTATTGAATACACGTATTACAGAAACAATTAAAAGAAAATGGTGCAGACATTGGTGACGCAGTGTACAGATTATAGGAGGGATAACAGGGAAACAGACGGTACGTTTTTTTCCGCATGCAAAATGCCACTTGAAAGACACAGCAAATGGATGAACTAGAGAAAGAAGCCACTGTTGTAGATTCAACTATATTAGGAACATATCATAACTATATTGGCTTTCGCTTGTTATGTATTTCCCATATCCTTCAGAGAGGTCGATGTTCTAACCCATACTGTTACTGTCAACATTCACTAAAACCATGGAGATCAGACGGTTTAGGTCAAGACACTGTTATGCTCATGTAAGCACCAATTCATAAACCATTCAAGCGTAATAGAAACAAAGAAAATAACCAGAAATTGTAAAACCATTTCTCAGATACTTTTCTTCATATTGAAATGGCGACCTTTTAGTTTTAAATCCGAGATATTGACGACCAGAAGCACTAGCACCAGCACGAACCTTCGTCCGTTTCTATCTTTCTTGGTTTAATAGGACCAATTTCAATCACTGGATCTATAATATCATCATGCGTCAAATTAGAAAATCATGTGGTGTTTCTCCACTTGACTTTTTAACCTCAATTAATCCAACACCATTATCAACTGCTAAATCTCGACTATTTTATCTCTAAATTCCTGTAAGTGTCCCTGTCAGGAGCTCGCCTTGATGCGTATTTAATTCCAAACTCCGTGTAGAGTCCGAAAACCATGTCAGGAAGATTAACTATCAAAAAATGGAATTCACCATACAATCTTCAGTTGACTTTCCTATAAGATACTTTTTGGCAAAACTAAATATCTACATATTGTTAATCTTCAAGAAAACTACGTAGTTGCCATGTAGAACAGCAAGCTGCAATGTGTCATGGGATTATTGAATCCAAAAATTTTTGTTAGGTACTTTACTTGAAAATATGAGAAAAAGAAATGTTCATAAACTGGGAACATTTCAAAACGCCGCTGGAAAAGTTGAGAAATTTTAAACACAAAGTAATGGATCTGAAACATTTTACTAATCATTCCAACTTAACGGCTGTAATACACCGTAATTATTTTGGAATTCTTACAAACAACACAGTAATACAATATGTTAGAAGTACTGAGTTACCAACGACGACGGTATATTTTAAAATGGAAAGTTTCGAATACCTCACTTTGTTTGACTTTGTTCTGCCAATCACCTGTTCCAATTAAATTGATAGCTTCTAAATTTTAAACACCGAAAATAAAGAAATTCAGGAATGTAAAAGATACGATACTATTACCGTTACACCCAGGAAAAAAAAAGGAAAAAAACAACAATAAGCAAGGCAATACATGCTGACGGAAAAAAACGACTTTCGTCAAAAACTGATGCATCAAATTCTGTGTGAAGTAAAAGGGAATTCATTAAATTGAGACAAAGCACCAAATTTGACACGCAATTCAAGCCATAAAAATTGTTCATTTTTAGTAGCAAATTAACAGCAGTACAGCTATCGCTCGAAAAAACAGCTACTGCTCGAAATGTATTAAAGCGACTGCACTCTCAGCGACGGTAGAAATACGCAGGGAGCGAGACTTCTTGAAAACTTAACCACTTAAATTTGATTTTTTCAAACGTATCTGAAATTCAAACGGTTTCTTCATCATTAATATAAACAACCGTACAAGGCGCACATACTAAATTTCCTCCTTATATGAGCTAAAAAGCTACTTCGAATCAACAAAAGCAGAATTATGTGTATTAATGACTCGAGTTTCAAAATGACCACAAGAAAAAAGGCAAAAGAACAGAAATTTCAAGGACTGCAATTTAAATAAAAATGGTAACAAAAATTATAATAAATATCATTTCGACACTGCGTTCAACGCAGAATGCATGCAAATATTTCAAAAACGGAACAATGTTTTATGGCGATGGTATCCCGGTTGATATTTTTCGATACTAAAGCAATAATGATGGCCTCAACACCAACAACCACTTTCTTGCATTTGAACTTGTCGAATAGGCGCATCGCTTAACTTCACTTCTTGCACTACAAACAGGAAACATGCAATAGCTTCACGTCAACTGTATCTTCTTTACAATCATTCCATTAGTAGCATGACTCAGTATAATTATGTTTTGATAAGTTTTATAGTCTTTATTACTAATGATATCATTTTTTACAGGTGCTATGATGTTTCTATTACTGACAGTACCCTGAAGCAATACTCATCCTAAGCAGTGATCCGTCTCCACCGTAGATAAGGTAATTTTCTTGATACTTCTTACGTCTTTAATACCTCCTACGGAATGCATCTTTAAATCTCAAAAGTAATGAAATGTGTAAATGACTTGAACACTGAAAAGTGATAATAAGCTTTGAAATAAAATTCCACAACCATTTTATTTAAAACATTTTCTGTTAACTTCTTGGAATTTTTTAAACAATTTGAAAACTGATGAAACTGAACGCACAAGGATTAAAAATGAATTATGATTATGAAATTGAAAAGTGATCTTTTGGGGATGAAGGGATAAATTAAAAAACATACTGTCATGCTTATCTCTCTGATCGGCCTCAATGCCGGGCAGCGCTCCAGCAATACGTCGGAAAAGCTGAAAAATCAAACTGATCTACCGAAAACTTATAGCTCCAAGTCTATCTGCAAATTCATCTTCAAGACTTAGTTACCTGCTTCACATTGTATCCAGCTTTTGCCGATGTTTCAATAAACATAACATTCAATTCCTTTGCCTTGCGCTCACCTTCCTCAGTAGATACCTGCCTGGAATTTTTTAATCTTTTTTTTTTTCATTTTTGCACCCTGCAATTTTAAATCATCCTAAATAAACAAAAAATATTTACAAATATTGGTCCAAAATCCAAAGATTCATAAAAAATATCACTACGTTTATTTATATGACAGTAAGTGCATTAGTTAATAAGGTTACAACAAAAATTCTAGCAAAAATCAGCCACGTATTATGAAAGCTGCTTCAATCAAAGTTTTCTTGGAATTCGTACTTGCTTTATTAAATGTCTGATTTTTAAACCAATCTGAAATACACAATGAAAACGTACATTAGAAATATATTCGAATTGTGATTTTCGAATTAAAATTTACCGTTTGTCCGCTAGATCAGTTTTGTTGCCCACGAGCATAATGATAACATCACTTCCTCTTTCAGTACGTACATCATCAATCCATTTTGATGTCTGGTGAAAGGAATTGGCATCTGCAGAAGTAAATCAGTTACAATCAAAATTCATTTGATATCCCAATTTGCATAGCCTTCACTCTCAGCTTATAGAGAAATAAAACTTTGCATTTATTAAAATATAAAATTCTAACTACTTCTATCTATTTAAAAGAAGAATTTCTCAATATTCTCATTCTTCAGTTTTCATTATGATGAACATTAAGTCAACAGAAGCATTCGAAAAATCTCTAGCATCGTCTCAGGTTAGTTTAGAAACATATGCGCAGAGCAATCAGTCACATCCGGTGACCAGAAAAATCTCAAGACAATTACCAAATATTCCAACAAGTAACAATTCAAGTGTTGAACGAAATGAATCGGCCAACGAGATCGAAGCTATGAATAATCTTTTGGTAAAATTTTATAACTTTCATTACAAAATCTCTTCTCTTCTCACACATCGGAATTCCCGAATTTGCGCTCCAATTTTCATCTCGGATTTTAAAAATGAGAGGAGGATTTCTAACTTATAACTATTTTCCATGAAGTGACCAAGATTTCGAGCAGCAGGAATAAGAGGAAAGTTCCGAATTTCTAAACAAGGATTTGAGATGAAGTTATCTAAATTGGAAAAAAAAAATATTAAGAACAAATGAAAAGACCTAATTCCTTCATAATAAAACGAAAGGACACCTATGAAATAATTACAGATAGAAATGCAGAAAGAAAGTGATAAAAAGAGCGAAATGCTGAATTCCGTTTTCGATAGAAATTTCGATGGGAAAATCAGAACCTGTATTAATACGCGAGCTGAAATGGAAGCACGTGCAGCAGAGTTTGAAACAATAATTCAATCCGAAACACTCATTAAAAAGCCAATGTACGGATGACTCGTAGAAAAAAAAAGAAAAAACGAAAAAACTGATGCATCAAACAAAACAAGCTAAGAGGCAGTAAAACACTTTTCAAACGTCCCAAACAGTAAATGAAGTGTCGTCTCGTCATAGCCAAATGATACTCTGCATTGAAACATTCAAATTCGCGAGTATAAATGAGCATGGAAAGTTCCTGAACTAAAAAGTCTGCATTACAAGCAACAATCATTAAAAGAAGCTGTGAAAGATAGTTGAAAGATTTTTTTTTCATTTTAGTCCTTCTGCTCTACAAAAGTTTGAAACTTTGACCATTAGATAGCCATCCTTGGAAAGAAAAAATATGCTAAGTGTACATGCAAATCAGTTAAAGGAACAACAAGAAAGATTAATGCACTAGTTGATATAAACAAAGCGATAGTGATTAACCAATAATTTCAAAGATATGGAGTATATATGAAATGCGATTACTCAACCAATTATCAATTTTCTATATTTTAGTAAGGAAATCACAACCAAAAATACCTACGATGGAGTATTTGGAATCAATTTTAGTGTAACAGGTTCAACATCTGATAGACTCAGAACACCACCAACGCAACAACAACAGTTAACACCTCAACACAGTTCCACCGGAGAACCAACTCGTAAAGTTGCAGATATTATATCACCAAACAAAGTCCAGGATGAACAAATCTTCACTGAGCATGCAGACAACGCCGGTAAAAAAATAATGGGCTTTGGTGAGGCAGCGCTAACGAAAGTAGGCCACTGGAGCAAGAGTGCTTTCAACTTCTTCCGAACAAAGACTGCTGGCTCAGGTTAACCTGGTGAATATTTTTCCCAAAATTTTAAATCGTTACTGTGGTATGCCACTATACCAACATAGTACCCCAGTGTTTGTTTCACGGGAACATTTGTTACATTATTAAATGAAATCAGTTTTAGTTTTTTCATTTAGAAATCTTCCACTAACTGTAGATGTAATCATTCCATACGAATATCGAAATCAAAACTTTACAGGAAAGGAAGCAGCAATGCTTCAAAAAAATACGGAAAAAACGTCGCAAGCAGAAAATGATCGTTCTCGACATCATGTAGGAGGTGCAGAAATTGAGAAAATAGCTCAAGAAAATCTCAAGCGAACGCGTTGGACTTCAAAGATGAAATCACACAGTCAGGATGAAACAAAAGGACAAAAGTCCAAGAAAACACTTCAGAAAGGTGCAAAACAGAAACAATTAAAAGAAGTTAGATCTGTTCTAGAGATGTCTGCACCGACAAAATTCGGTAGCACAAGTAATGCATTGAAAAAACATGCGGAGATGTTGACGGAAGCAAAAAAGAGGTTAAAAGAAAGAAATGCAAGAACGTTTAAAAAAGTGGAAAAATCAAATATAAAAACGAAAGAAACGCGTCCACACAAATATGCTGGTTTCAAAGAAAATCAAAAAAAAAGAGCTCTAAGAGAACAACTGCCCGGGAAAAAAAAATGAAAAATCTGGAAATTGAAAATTCAGTAGCATAATTCGATAAACACAAATTTAGTTGGAATACAAACACTTCTTCTGAAAAAATTTGAAAATAAAGACTATGAAATGGAGTTCAATTTCTGGCTTATTTCGGGTTTCGGAAGTAAATCCCTCCCGTGAAAAATATTTGGAAAATCCACAAAAAGTTTGCGTGACGATACTCATTGTAAGTTGCCCACACTAATGAAAAACATGCGTCAAACACGCTTCAGGAAATTTCATAGTAAATTGAGTTAAAACTAATGCTTATACGTTATACAGTAGTAATGGTTCACAAATAGTAGTAGTTCATGATTGTCATGAACAAAGACGTCAATTCGATCAAAATAGTTAAAATATTATAAAATTTACAAAACTGACTTGTAATGTCATATACAACAACGGCGACAGTTGAATCACGGATATAAGATGGGATCAAAGATCGAAAACGTTCCTGACCTGCGGTATCCCAAAGTTGTAACCGAACCTGAAATAAAATAGTCATAATTGTTGTGGTCCCCTGTTCCAATTTTTATTACTAATTTTTGTCAAAAAGCAAAATCCATATATGGGAACGAATAAAAAAATACCAAGCCGTTAGCCAAATCTAATATATGGCAGCTGCATTTCGAAATATAGCGATGCATTACAATTTAGACATACTTTCATGACAGTCATATTTTTTAGATACGATAAATCGCCAACGATTTCACTCAGATACATGTTTGCAACAGTATGCAAAGAAGTATTTCGCGCAAAACTTTAAAAGTTCTCAAATAATACCGTTCTATCTTCGAGATACATAGTTTTACTCAAGAAATCGATTCCTATAGTAGCCTGATAGGTATTATCAAAACTGTCGTACATGAACCGTGTTATTAACGATGTTTTCCCAACTGAAATTATTTATAATATTATGTAACTACAAAACAGTGTGCTGTATCATAATATATCTGTATCATTACAAAAAGAAAAAAAACAAAGCAACTGCAGCAATGAAAAAGGACAGAAATCAGATATTCAACAATTACCACTCTGTTCACCCAGAAATACCAATTTGAACTTTTTCAATGGATTACCAAAATCTGAAGCCATATCCTGAAATAGTATTCATCTAGCTCTTCCCGTTAACGAAGAAATGAACTGATGCCTTCAGTACAATAACACGTCATTATGATAGAGTAAGTCATCCAATTTCAATTGAAATTCAAAAAATTTCTCAATAAATAGCATGCCAGTTCACAGATTTCATCCTTCAGTCCAAGTCCAAAAAAAGAACTGAAGAAATGTCAGTAAAATCACATGAGGTAAGTAAGGTGGTAGATAAACAATGCGTAAGCTAGACTGTATCGATAATACTCTGAAAGAGAATAAACGAGAAAATCCGGGACCCGTGACTTCTTCCGCCCCTCCCCCGCCTTTTACACCACGACCGGAAACCCATCGTACTATGTTATCGTCGAATAACCTCGGCCTGTTGCAGCACTCTACTCTCTTCAGGCCAACCGAGAAAAATGTTTGTATTGAGTTAGATACGCACACACGGACGCCTGTATACACAGACATACACACCCATACGCACACACGAGCATCTGTACACGCACACACACGCATATACACACTCACGCTTATACATATATGCATATATGTCTTACACGAATAATCGAGTGTGGCTGAAAGTAATGCATTACAAGTGTTAGTCTCGTAATCATCGGAAAGGAAGTACTATGGTTTGTCGCCTAAATTGTCACCTTCCATGAGTGGATAGGTGGTGGAAGATGATCTCTCTCCATTCTAGTTGCTTGACCTTTCCAATTCGGGAAATTTGTATGGTAGAGAAGTAATCAACGCTGAATTTTGAGGTTAGATATGTGTCGATCAACTGAGTGATAATTGCCTTAATCGATTTATCACCACTACTTTTTCTGTGCGCCTCTTCAGTCTCCTTCTTCTTCTCCTTCTACTCTTTTTATTGAAAAAATGATATGAAACGACGATAAGAACTAATTTTCACAATTTGATGCTATTTCTGATTTGAATTATTGATGAGCATCAGTGATATCATTGAATTACTTCGAGAATTGCTTACATCAACAAAATCACTTTTCTGCTATATTTAGAATTGTTTGCTGATAACAACCCGCTTTTCGAGGTCATTCACTTAATACATTGACGTTTGATATGCGCAATCCTCCGTCTATCCACTGAAGGGTAGTGACGGACGATTGCGCTTATCAAACTTAACTCTCACAGCTAGAATATCCTTTTCCTGATAGTGATTCCATGAATGATTTTTTTCAGGATGTGAGTTCACAGTATTGAGTTGAGGAAAAAGTAAATGAATAATAAAAAATTGGTTGGTAACAGTTTAAGAATGTAACAAATCATCAAATGTATTCTTTAACTCCCTGTTTTCCCTCCCTCTATTAATTAGTTTTGAATAGTTTTGTATTTTTGATTGAAATCGATGCTGAAATATTTTGAACGACTTTAGCAGCAATCTTCTATTATTTATCAACTATTTTTTCCACAATTCAGTAAATAAAGAAATTTTAAAGTTATGCTAAAATTGAACACAAATACATCAAAACATGACCGGTTTACCAATTCATTATAAGTTTCATTTATATTGTTGGTACCCTTTCTTTATCTTGCAAACGAGATAGGCAGGTCCTTCAAATACGCTAAAATATGAATTAGAGTTTTGCCCCCATCTTTATTAAATATAAAACAATTAGCGGACACTGAACTAAAATGTAATGTTGCAGATGATCGGAATCAAAATCAAAAAAAAAGTAGAATTTGATTATCTCCATCGTCATATACTGGTGTCAAAATATTTAATCAATCTATGGTCGAATTATATTGGTGGATATTCCGGAATCATTTCCGTAAATGTACGTAGTGTTTCCCGCATATAAATATTGATCAATGATTCTCAAAGTATTTAATACTTTTAAAAGATTTCTAATCACTTTTTTTATACTACCATGATACAAATCCACTCTGTTTATTGCGCATAGCTTGATGAAAACATTCGCATTACTTGTTTACTGAGTTCATCTTAATAAAGATAATATCGTCCTTTATCAAGATTATGAATACTCTTTTCTCTCTCCCTCTTTCCCTGTCTCTTTTTCTCTCTCTCCGATTATTTGGAACTGTCCCTTTTGTTGTTAAGAAAGTGTCTTATACAATGACCCTCAGTGACATTTTCTTCCATGTATTTTCATGTCACAACATCGATTTTGTTTGCCTCTCACTGTGCTAATTTTCTGCATTTCTGCAAGTCTTTTTCCTTTCCAACTTTTTTTTAATTTTATTTTTTAAATCTGTTTTGAACGCTATCAATATTATGGTATGATACCAATAAGCTGAGGTAATGCAGCTATAATCAATACTTTCAATTATTTCAACTGAAGATCAACATGAAAAAAAAAACGATCTACAATATTTATGCTCAAAAGATGTACGTTATTGCCCCCATGTCACTATGGTAACTTGGGCTTTATTGTAATTTTCCGAATTAAAGTAAACTTTGAAATCCATTTTTAAAGTTAAAGGATTATATTAATGAAAACCAAAAAGATTTGAGATATAAAATGTCGGAAGAACCATTTTTGCTCAGTGAAAAACAAAATTGCTTAGTACAAGAACTCGTTTCAGTGAATTTCATTATAAGTTTTCAATGCTACCAAAAAACTAGTTTGTCTAACCTTCTTTTTTCTTTAATTCAGTTCGTCTTTTTATGAATATTGTTTAGGAAAACTTTTGTTTGCAAAAAAAAAGATTAACGTGATGGTAAGAGTAAAGAAAGATAGAAGGATCAATGTAGAGCAGGAAACTGATATAAGTATCATTATCAAAAATCATCTATCAGCATTGGAACTTCCCATCACGTAAAACTTTTCTTTTGAAGATCGGTAATGATGATTGAGACATTAAGTCGATAGTGAGCCATGCTTTTCTTCAACAATTCCTAACCACTTTTATGTGAGGTTTTTTTTTAGATTTTTTAAATTGCGCACTTATAAAAATGTTCAAAATAATAACTTGAAAAGAAATTTTGTCATCTTTCTGTGCTCTTTTTTTTGGGTTAGAAAACATCTTCGCACTGTTTTAGTTATTTTTCCTTTCACTTTCCTCTTTGTTACTTATGCATGAGAATTTCATCAAAAGATCTTTCACTTATCTTACGATGATCCAGATTATCAGCCCATTATGGAAATGAATTTTCTTCCAGCATTTGAATTCTTGATAACCATTTTACCTGTTATTTGGGAAGTTTCGTAGGATAATTTGAGTAAAATCGTAACTATTTGGTTCTATCTTTAATCACCGGAATCTGACCACAAATTTGTTTCTTTGTAAGTAACTACGAATCAAAACTGAGCAGTTTCCTCTTTTGTACAAATCTGAAGATTCGTGAATAAAGAAGAATTCTATATATTAATTTATCCTGATTTTGAATTTCGTATTTCAGTTAATAAAAATAAAAGTAACTGCTTGACTGATTGATCTTTTTATAAATAAATTTTATTTTTCATTTCGTGTTTGTAGTACAGTTCCTGCCAATAAAATCTTTTGTTTTTTTAAAACAAATTGGATTTCGCTGATCGATGGTTTAGCGTTTAAAAAACCGAAATTTACAGCAGTATTCTCAAGATCTGTTATGTTTTAAAATCTCATGACTTTTTTTTTTTAATGGGAAGAATGACTGATTTGCAAAGGGTGACACGAGCACAGGTGGCAGAGCACAATACTAGTAATAGTACATGGATCTGCATCGAAAACCAAGTTTATGATCTCACCACATTCTTGGATCAGGCAAGTTCTCTTTCAATAACTTTGCTGTATTTCTCACATCAATTTCCATTATGCAATCTATCTATCTAATATATATATATATATTATATATATATATATATTATATATATATATATATATATATATATATATATATATATATATATATATATATATATATATATATATATT